ATAAGACTTTTATTTTTGTTTACTTTTTGGGAACTCCGCTGTTTCTATGACGTCACATAAAGGTTTTCTTTACGTCGGCATTTGGAAGCAATAATTTGGTATCAAAGTGCGACAAATATTGCGCGAATGATGCGTTTATCTTATCAAGGTCAATATATGATGGCCAACAAAGGATTCCAGGACAATTCTTCTTATGGCATTTTTTCGTATCGCAATTCTTCGTCTGCAAATCTTCGTCAGGGCATTTATTCGTATCGCATTACTTTGTCTCGCATCAGGGTATATGAAAATCGGCTCGCATTTCTTCTTCAACGCAAATATATGCAAGAGTAAGCATTGATGGACAAATAAATGCACCGACGAAGATTTGTAGACGAAGAAATGCGGACGAAGAAATGTCATGCGAGGATTCGTTCGGGTACCATGACATTTATGTGATTTCAAAGTCAAGGGGCCTGTTCCAGCGCCTCCAGAAACCTCCAGAAAGCTCCAGAAAGCTCTAGAATTCTCCAGAGAGCGTTCCAGCGCCTCCAGAAAGCTCCAGAAAGCTCTCGCCAAAGCTCCAGAAACCTCCAGTAGCCTCCAGAGAGTTGAGAGGTCCAAATTTCTCTGGAGGCTCTGGTCTACAATTATGGCGCACATGTGACAATCACGAATGTAAACAAAGGACATTTGACTGATAATTTTACAACTTGAATGTAAAGAAAATTACATTGCTATAATTTTATTTATCTTTTTAACTAAAATTGAAAACAAATTTTGCGTTTCAAGAGAGAACAATCGTCATTCTTTTGGTATCTATGACACCAATCTCCAGAAATCTCCAGATTGCGTTCCAGCGCCTCCAGTAAAACCTCTGGTAGAGCCTCCAGTCAAGAATTTATTCTGGAGGCGCTGGAACAGGCCCAAGGTTCACAGCTGATCTGCTAAATCAAGCCAAGAATCCAAACTATCAAAAAACTATAAATATTTGTTTGTCTGTCACAGAGGTCTCAAGCAATATAAGGTTGACATATGTTGAATCAAAAATCTACTGCCACAACTCACATCTCCTGCCTTAGTTTATCATTGTTGTTTTAACTTGCTTTCAAGAGAAACAGAAGCCAGTATCTGATATCACTTCAGATGATTGTTTCAAGATCTGAGTTCAAATGGAATTAAAAGCAAGATCAAGATGAAACAGGGATTATTGCTGTTAAAGTAGTTTGGCCATGATACAACAGGCACATAAATCATTAGCCAAATCAAATACTGGTTGGTTTGTCAAGATGTTTGTTGTCTGTCGTCTGTCGAGCTGCTATGAACACTGAACGCTCTCACTCTTACTTTAAAGAGAGTAGTTTAAGTTCAATGGTAGTGAGCTGTAATTAGACAAAGCAGCTATTCAGTGCTCACATCAAGCCAGGCTAGGAAATGGCATCAACTGTGGTGGGAGGAAGCAGGTTCGGCAGGCCTATGTTGTAAACTTCTGTTGTGTCTTGTGTTTGATCAACTGATGTTTTCTGCTCTGTTTTGTGCAGTGATAGTAGCAGGTAACTGCATGCTTGTCAAATTATGTGAATAAACGAATTCATAACATTGCATTTTTCTCTCCATGCAAGGAACAAGTAAGATGTTGTAGAAAATGTAATAGAGGGCTGCATTGCTGATTTCATGCACTTTATCAGAGCTTTATTTAGAATTGCTTTCCTGAAAGCTACACACAGGCCACAGCACTGAAACTCACAATGTCATAGCTTTTGACAGAAAAAAAGAAAAGACTTGCCTAGGTAAAATTGGCTGAAAGTATGGCAGAGCAGGTCTTGATGCGTATGCCCATCCGTGTGCTTGCCGAAGCCGAACTGACTGCAACACATTAACTCTGACCCACCATGGTGGCTGGCATATCCTGAACTTTCACCACTCTAAACAAGACAACTTTCAGCCCTCAGCATTGTATTAAAACACTGTACTACTACATGGCAGTTGACACTCAAAATTTGTTTCAGTGCCATCCACGGACAACATCAGTCGCCATTCACCAGGCCAGTAAAAACAGAATAGATAATAGCTTCAAACCCATGTAGTCAGAGTTACTAGGTCTGCACCTCAAAACAAAATCCAGGTGACATTCACCACGCCAGTAAAAAAAAACAGGTAGGTACTTAGGTAACGTAACAGCTTCAAATCTGGTAACATGTTGGTCGGACTTAACACTACCATATGTACATGGAATAATATGATACCAAACAATAGTGCAACCATTCTGGACAACAAAAGTGTATGATAAAATTAATTTAGAATACTTTGGCAGCATGATTTACGAGCACAGGCAGGTGTTACCTACCAGCCTTCTCAATGCTCGTAAAACCAACATTGTAGTTTTGATTTTACCTTACATGATAACACACTTGGCTGCAATGGCACATTTAATTTAACACTGTGAAAAGACCAGTTATAACCACTTCACAAGCACAATTGCACCTCATGCCGACATCCTTTTCCAAAGACAGTCAGCAGCGTCTTTCGTCAAAACTGGAAGATCAATCCCCTTTCAACTGTTAACATCAAAAATATTTCTTCATGGTGTGATCTCCTATGGAAACCTTGCGGGAAAAGAATTAATGTCAATTGTCAGCTCTTCAAATTTCTTTGGACTTAAACTTGCAGTACCAATACCATAGGTATCCAGTTTGCTTTGATATTTTGTTTTTCATTCCATGTTGAAGTTGAACACCAAGCTCCAGATATAGCAGGCAGCTTGATCATCTTCGGCCTTGGTATAATATCAGTCCAAGTTCCAGTGGTGGGTATCTTCTAATATTCAAATTAAAATGAAAAGCAATTGGCTTTCTCAGCGCCGACGACGGATTTCACGTTGATAAAAAAGGGAGCTCAAGGTCAGCAAAACTCGGGTTCAAGGAATGGCGGGCGTTGAAATGACTGCTGACGTCATCAACAAACCGCTAATAGGGACTAATAGGGATAGGGACTAAGCTGGTCCCACCCTGCAAGTAAAGGGAAGAAATTTCTTGAACACCATAAAGCTGCGGGGGTTGCGACCAGGATAAATGGTGGTTTCTGAGCCTGGCCGCAAACTTGGCTATCTCAACTCAAAACTAATGTTAAGGTGGGATGGTCCCTTTAAAAGAGGAAATAAATCACAGTGACAGTCAGCCGCGCCACGCAGTTTTGGTCACTTTGCTGGTCAGTGGCTAATGATGCTGGTAGGAATTAACCTTATCCATTCGCTGCACCAATTTTGACGGTGCCTTCCATCCACACCTCCCGCTTTCTACACAGTGCCGACTGCAGGTGAAGGCAGTCACTGACTTCGAGTGGCTGAAGCAGTGCCGGTTCTACTTCAAAGACGACCTGGACCAGACCAGGATCTCCATCACCGACGTGCACTTTGTGTACCAGAACGAGTTTCTGGGCTGCACGGAGCGACTAGTGATCACGCCACTTACAGACAGGTGAGGACCGTATGTACTATAGCTGTGATGCCTAACTATGTCTCGGTGCTGCAAAGGCCCGTCTGCTGAGGTCTAACGATTCTTTGGTCAACTCCCACTAGCATATCCACTCTTTTTACGTACGTTAACCCGCGCACCGACGGGGGTCTGCGCCAACTTAGTACCGACGGGGGGGGGCGGATGACCGCCCCCCCCCTGAGATCTCGAGAACGAAGCAAGATAGCGACAAGCGGTAAACGGCATCGGATACGCACGGTCAAGATCTACAATTTTTACTAAGGTCATTTTCAGGTCAGGTCAAAGATGACGTCACAGGGGTCGAAAAAGTCAAAATGGCGGCGCTAAATATGGAGAGAGTTTTTCTCGAATAACTTTCGAATTAGTCAAGTTAGGAACAAACTAAGGGCATCATCGTGATCCTCTCGTCAATCCACATCGAATGATATATATGTTGACCTCGAAAGGTCAAGGTCAAAGGTTGACCTCAGGTCACGTGACCTCGAGGTCATCATGTATATCATTCGATGCGTCTTGACGAGCTGAACACAATGAGACCATCCACGCGTCTGTATCTTGTTCCTGTACGGAGTTATTGGCCAAAAACCTTTGGTGACCTTTGATGACGTCACATGACCTCACAGCTGCCCAACAGCAAAACAGACCTCAAGGTAGTGAAGGTTGATCGTATATGAAGTCATGTATGGTATATGGGGCCATTCCGACCCGTTTTAGTGGTAAAAACAGGGAGTTGATTTTTCCCCCATTGACTTATAATGGGGAGGTCGCGAAATTGACCTGACCTTAGGTCACCGATATCAAAATTCCGAGATATACAAATTGTAGCTACTAATGACCTAATAACATCCTGCGACTTTCAAAGGCCTCCGACATCTACTGTAGCTCTGGCACGGTGACAAAGTTGCAAAAAAGTGACTTGAGGTTGGGTCATTCAAAGTGACCTGGTGACCTGACCTTAAAAGGTAGGAGTTTTAAACTTGCACACTATGTGTAAAAATGATAAGGGAATAGTCATACCAAATTTCGCGGCGCTACGCGCCGCGGTTTTCCCGCTATTCGCGAAAAACCTCAGGGGGGGGCGGATATCCGCCCCCCCCGTCGGTGCGCGGGTTAAAGCTGCCAGATCCATCATCGCCTCGGTCTAACCGAACAACTGACTGTCGCCCCCCCCCCCTCCCTCTCTCCTGTCCAGGTGCTACATCACCCTGGCTCAGGCGCTGCACATGTCCATGGGCGGCTGCCCGAACGGCCCGGCCGGCACCGGCAAGACCGAGACGGTCAAGGATATGGGCAAGACGCTCGGCAAGTACGTGGTCGTCTTCAACTGCTCCGATCAGATGGACTTTCGCGGCCTGGGGCGCATCTACAAAGGCGAGTGGTCCTCAAACGCGACGCCCGGCGTTTGTTGTTAGTTCTGGTCTTCGTGCTGTATTTATTTTATTATTTTTTGTGATAGTCGTAATCGAAGAGTGGAGTCTTGTCAAACGAGTGCGGTCAGAGACAGGAACCACGTAGAAAACACCGACAGAGAAACCACACGAGGTAATATTTCAAACGTCACCCGTTATCAGCTACGTACTCGGGCCAAGTAGTCCGTAGGACTGCGGCACTGCGAAACCGGGCGGATACCCGGTTGGAATACGGATTCCGCGCGTTTGACACATGTTTAAGTACTGAGATTACGGAGGCATGTAGGTACACTCGGGGGCAGATTGATGTTCCACCACTCCCTACCCATCGGGCTCCCATGGCTCCCGCACTGGCTGCTGTCAGTGGCAGGACTGGCAGCACTGGCATTGACAGGCAGTGCTGAGCAGTGCTGAGGGCAGGCAACACTGGCAGCAGCCACTGCTGATCCATGGGAGCCCGATGGGTAGGGAGTGGTGGAACATTAATCTGCCCCCGAGTGTACCATGATCATCACTTGGAGCTCTTTCTGGCACCAGTACCATCCATCAGCACTCCTCTTTCCCACACGGAGACTTAAATGGAAACTGAGAAACAGCATCCATCCTTCACCAGTTCACATTCATGTGATTCAATCACTTGTTGCTTTCGAAGTACATGTAGTCGACGAGGAACAGCGCGCCGAGCAGGAGCGCCTTCAGCTCGGCGTCGAGTCCGACGGGGAAGGTGAGCTCCAGCGTGTCGGCGTCGGTGAGCAGCTCGCGCGCCAGGCCGCCCCACTGTTTGGTGATGGTGCCCACCTGCTGGGAGCCGTCGGCCGACTCCACTGTGAACCTCACGTCCCGGCAGAGAGCCAGGGGGCAGCGGGGGCCGCGCACGGTCAGCGCCAGCTCGCCGCCCGGCCGGTGGAGGGTGAGGTGCGGCCGCAGACAGGCGCGCTGCTCTGTGACGGCGCCCAGCGGCCGGCCGTCTGCGGCGCTCACCTCCAGACGCTGCATGCAGCACGGACTGCAGCAGCCGGTGCAGCGCAGCGGCCGCCGCAGGTGCAGCACCTCGCGCCGCTGTTCGTCCAGCACCAGCAGCTGCAGCGCGCGCAGCGGGCCGCAGCACATGCGCAGCCAGCAGCTGCTCCGCTCGGCGGCGCGGAACAGCGGCGCAACGCCCTCGGCAGTGTGCACCGTGTAGCGGTTGTTGGTCTCCCAGCCGGTGACGGCCTCCCAGAGCTCCAGCTGCTGCTTCACTAGTAGACGGTCCAGCGGCACCAGCGGCTCCAGGCCGGGCGGCGCGGCCGGCGGCCTGCCGAACCCCGCCGACATCGGGCCGACGGCTTCTGTCGCACCGGGCTGTAAGACCGGCCGAGTCCGAATACTACGAGTGATTCCGAGCAGCTCTGCTCGCGGTCCTGCTACACTGGCTCCGTTCTTTGGCACTTGCTGATTTCTTTCAGAGGGACCTCGTTTTCGGGGAATCTTCTGGATTTCTCCCAATGGTTCAATGAGTCATTTAATACTATCTGGTCTAGGTCTCATTGACTTACTAACTTGGTTTTATTGACTCGCTGACTTCGATCTGACAGATTCACTGCACCGATTGGCGATTTCGCCAATACTGAGCCGCTAAATGCAACGCGAAACTCCAACACTGCTCCAACCTGCATCACCAACGGCAATGACGATCAATGGTCGTGGGCCGGTGATCTTGGCTTTGCCTTGATGAAATATTGGCCAATCGGTCCGGTGAAATGTTTCAAATTAGGTCAATAAACAAATTAAATTTTAGTACTGCACGCATGCAGCTATTCTTCGAGCGGGTCTTCTAACTTCGAACTTTCCAAGCAAACTATCGGGTATCATTGTCGATCCAGTCTTGACGAACATCACAAGCTTGAAGCTACATTTATACGCTACCGCTACGCTGCCATGATTTTCTCACTGGTAGCAACCTATTATTTCGTGACATGTGATGAGGATAATACATAAAGACGTGTGCCCGAGAACCAAAGACGAACGACTGAACAAAGTAGCGTGTGAAAAGATGAGGTCCCGCCGAGATTTGAACTCGGATCGCAGGATTCAGAGTCCTGAGTGCTAACCGTTACACCACGGGGCCGATGGCAGTTGGGTCTTTAGAGGTCATCAAATCTAACTTGGATTGTAGGTAACTGATGTATGCCTGATGGATATCGCATTTCTAGAATATATTTTTTTGCGTTATCTTAAAGAACATTTGTTGTAACTGCGCATTCCTGTTTATATTCTTGAGAGCTTCACCTCTTTATGATCTGGTGCTTTGGTTGCACCTTTTGTGGGTAGATGTCGCCCTTGTACGACAACTCGCAGATGGCAGCACTATCGACGTCAAATCGTGGCAAGAACCCGAGCCCCAGGCAGCAGTCAAGTCTTGAGAAACTAGCAAGGCTTCTTAGTCACCCCTCCGTCGTTTCCATCCTCAGGATGTTCAAATCCTCTTCCACGCCGCAACCCTCGTTCTGGGCTGGACAGGCAACTTTATCTCATGCGGGCTGCTCCCTTGGAGCGGCACTGCTGCTCCCAAGAGCGCACCCGTAGCCCGGGGTGCAGAGAGTACCTACTTGAGGGGCTGGTCGGCCTGTCCATTCGGACGAGCTCAGCCCTGGCGACTCTCTACGGTGTGTGCCCAGACCAATGTCTCCCCTTCATTCCTATCATCCTTCCGGCTCTGAAATGGTCTTGTCAGAATGAAAGGTCTAACCCAACAAAACAAACACACAAACAAAAGCTTCTTAGTATGCGATTTGGTATCATTATATATGCACTGCTGGTGTCATGTTATCCCTCATTCGTTCCTCAGTATGTTCTGCTAAGGCCTGGGTCGCGCTCACACGGCGATGGAACGCTCAGACTTCTGCTGTGCGCCGCTGACTGACACCTCTGCCCCTCTGCCCCGATAGGTCTGTGCCAGTCCGGCTCGTGGGGGTGCTTCGACGAGTTTAACCGGATCCAGCTGCCGGTGCTGTCTGTGGCCGCCCAGCAGGTGGCCGTCATACTCAACGCCAAAAAGGAGCACAAGAGACACTTTGTCTTCACCGACGGCGACGAGATCTCCATGAACCACGAGTTCGGCATCTTCTTGACCATGGTATGTTCGCAACATCAACTGTGAAAAGTTATTCAGCTGTGGTGTGTGTCTTGACTATGTCCCACGAGTGTTGGCACCTCACCTTCCATGAACGTCTCCCGTCCGTCCACCGCTGATGCAGAGTCCCAGCTGTTCATCATTGTATCAGTTTACACGCCGCCCCGATTTCTGAGGTCCTCGCGTCTGCCTCACCGCATAAAATCCCAGCTATATCGACTTCTGTCATCCCACAGGGTAACCAGTGACATATTCTGACTCATCTCCACAGAACCCCAGCTACGCCGGCCGCCAGGAGCTGCCGGAAAACCTCAAGATCCAGTTCCGCAACGTGGCGATGATGGTGCCCGACCGGCAGATCATCATCCGCGTCAAGCTGGCCTCCTGCGGCTTCCTGGAGAACATCACGCTGGCCAGGAAGTTCTTCACGCTCTACAAACTGTGCGAGGAGCAGCTCACCAAACAGGTGAGACGATGTAGTGAGAGAGCGGGCGGTGAGACGGCGGGGTAATTCATGCAGCCGATGGGGTCTAGTTGCCCGAGGGAGGGAGGGAGTTATGTGATCGAGTACATAATAGCCGTTTTCACGACGGCCATCTGGACACATTTGGTGCACATCTGGTACAGATTAGGTGCAGATTTGGTCAAATCAGGTTCAGTGTGTCTCTTAGCAGCTAGCAGCTAGGGTTGCACTAATTCCTTATATGCCTGCTTTGTCATATTTTCAGAGAGCATTATCGATTAAAACACTGAAATAAGTTCATAAAATGAAGATGTTTACTGTAAAAGAAATTAGGTGCAGATTTGGTCAAATCAGGTGCATTCGCCGGATAGCCCGCCGTGAAAACGGCTAATGTTTTCACTTTTCAATTGATACCGTGATGGGTGCTGAACGGGATACTATGCAGTGCACTACTATACATACATATTCTATGAAGCCTACGGTATTACCCACAATTAATGCCGTAAGCTCGACCACAATCGATAGACTAGCAATGAATGGTGAGGAATAGGATGATTTAGTCATTGGTGTTTTGCGATACTCTGCTTCTTTTTTTATCTATTGCACGCCTCTGTGCCCAGGTGCATTACGATTTCGGCTTGCGTAACATCCTCTCCGTACTGCGAACGCTGGGAGCGGCCAAACGGAAAAACTCCAAGGACTCCGAGTCGACGATCGTTATGAGGGTGCTGCGTGATATGAACCTCTCCAAACTGATCGGTAAGCGTCGTATGAGCGGTCAGTTCGATTATGACGTCTTGTCGGTCAATTTCGGTCAGTGTCGGACGTCGGTCTGTTGGTCTGTTAGGTCAGTGCGACTTCGGCTGGTCAGTAGTTAGTGGAAGTGGAATGGTGTGAGATATGAGTAAAAAGAGAGCTACCTTTTAGTTAGTAAAGTAACTGCCTGCTTATTTTAGCTGCACTTTTTCATGCATAAGACATCTTCTCTATTGCTCATGCACAGCTTACTTTTCCATTCAATCGCCAATGTTGAATTCAGGTGACCTGACCAACCGAAGTGAGTTATGCCAACACTCACACCCACACCCAGAACCCGCCGACATCTCTCCCACCTCTCACGGCCTTCAGACGAGGACGAGCCTCTGTTTCTGTCTCTCATCAACGACCTGTTCCCGAACATGGCGCTGGAGAAGGCCGGCTACCCGGACCTGGAGACGGCCATCGCTAACGAGACAGCGCGCGAGGGACTCGTGGCGCACCCGCCCTGGACGCTCAAACTCATCCAGGTGAGGGGAATGATGGAGCTGGGCTGACTGACGCCAGCTACGCCTATCATGACTTCAATGTGCGTCTGTGTGCTTGTTGGATTGTGCATTTGTGTACGGGAACGTAGCGGAGGATCAGTTTACATAATTGTAGATGTCGCGGCGAGCGCTAAGTGAGCTAGGTGGCGCTACAGGCAAGGAGTAGGCATTTTGTTGGATGGGCGGGGTAGAGTGGCACTGAAATACAGTTTGCTGGTTGATATTTCGTCATTATATTATATTTATTGAATATCGCGACTATTAAATAAAAATGGGCACAGTATGAGAGAAAGACTGAAATAGTGAGCTTGACTCTTATTGTTATGAGAACTCATGGGCCATTGAGCATAGCGCCGCTGGTGTAGTGGTATCATGCAAGATTCCCATTCTTGCGACCCGGGTTCGATTCCCGGGCGGCGCACAGGTTTTCTCACCCCTTCAACCCGTCCTGCTTAGATCTGCCGAGGAGCCCATACATCACTATCTGTATGGAGGAGCTCATCATCGTCATTGTATTGTCACTACACGGCAGATCGATGCATGCCCCTCCCGTCCAATACTCAATTCCCGACATGACTTTCTGGATCCACTGTTTTGTACTTGTCCTTCAGTGTACGTTCGTGTCTTGGTTATTCCCCGTATGCCGTTTTAATTCAGTAATTGCGGCTCCACCCCTTTTTTCCATTCAAATGCATCGAACCCCTGTAACACCATCCTGTTCCGGTATTATCGGCTGCGTTATAACCCGGGTGCCATGCCGTGCCGCAGCTGTACGAGACGCAGCTGGTGCGTCACGGCATCATGACGCTGGGTCCCAGCGGATCCGGCAAGACCAGCTGCATCCAGGTGCTTATGAAGGCCTTCACCGCCACCGGAGCCGTGCACAGGTCAGAAGCGCCGATTTCATACTATTCATACATACTTAAAGCTTCAAGAATATTAGGTGTCATCATGAACTTTTCAAGTCTACGTCACACGTGTGTTGTAAAGTTATAAGGTTATCTGGTGAAAGACTTCGTCATAATTGCCGGCAAATGATTTTACAATGCATGCTATACCTACCAACAATCGGTGAGCTCACCTTTTTGCGACGCAGGTAGAAGAGCTGCATCCCGAGCAAAACTCATCACGCTTGTCCTAGGCTCAGTATAAAATCACCGTTTCGATTGCCTTCCCGTCACAAATGCCAATCTCCTCGAGAGGCGAGACGCGGTCCGTCCCGTGGGATGCTTGCACGAACGCCTCGTAAACCGAACTGCGATATCAGCGGCGCGACGCCCGCCACCTTCCCCCTCCGACTGTCCCTCTGGGGGGGGGGGGGGGGGAAGAGGGGGTCACTCAGCCACTGCCCGGGGCGCCGAGAGCTAGCCTAGAGCTCCAGTACCGCCTCAGGCGAGCACGGTGTCAGGTGACGGGGCGAGCGAAATACGACGCCGGCGAGTGTGGATTGCGCCGATAGTGCGACGGCGGAATATGATTCCAGTGACGGTCGAGACGGTCTCGGGGTTGGTGGTTGGGACTCGCGAGTCGGGAACGGGGACAGCGGTGCAATGGTGGAGTGCTGATCACTGATCAGCTGGTGTTATTGTGGTGTGCTGAGTGGGTCCTAATAATGGTGTTCAATGACTGAGAACTAAATCGATCAAGAATTATACCGTGGTCTCACAATTACGTCCCCCTCCCCGCCCTCCGACCTGGCTGTCCTCTGTCAGGGAGATGCGGATGAACCCCAAGTCGATCACGGCCGCCCAGATGTTCGGCCGGCTGGACGTGGCCACTAACGACTGGACAGACGGGGTGTTCAGCGCACTCTGGCGCAAAACCATGAAGGCCAAAAAAGGTACGGCAC